TGGAATAAAAAAGCTAAGTTGTTACTTACCAACTGTTGTTAGATCAATTCAAAGCCAGGCAGATATGAAAAACAACAGACAAAAACTCATCATTATTACCTGATTCATCACCTTAGGTATTGTTAAACGCTCCAATATCCAACAAAACCTTTAACACCCCAGTTGTTTAATCAAACTAATAATCGAACTTTAATCAATAGAGTTTTATTTAAAAACGACAAGTCTCGTTTCAATATCATCAGGTTTTATCAAGGATAAAGGGTTGATAATTCCTTGAGCATGCCTTTTTATTTAAGTATTACGAGACAAAAACTAAAAGTCATTTTAACTGTTGTTACTAACCACCTGTAGTTAGATCCATTCATAGCCAGGCAGATATGAAAAACAACAGACAAAGACTCATCATTATTACCTGATTCATCACCTTATGTATTGTGAAACGCTTCATTATCTACCAAAACCTTTAACACACCAATTGTTTAAACAAACTAATAATCGAACTTTAATCAATATAGTTTTAATTAAAAACGGCTAGCCTTGTTTCAATATAATCAGGTTTTATCAAAGATAAAGGGTTCATAATTCCTTTAGTATACTTTATTATTTAGTTGTACTAGATAAAAACCAAAAGTCATTTTAAATGTTGGATATTTTGTTACTTTTCAAAACCCTGAGTACATTTTGTATTTATATTTATTTTAGAAATGCACGTACACATAGAGATTGTGGATACTAAGTGATACGTTTATTCTTTAAGAGAATGGGATTTCACAATACTCACTGTCATGAAATCATCGTAAACGTAAACATTTCACTTATTCACATCTTCTGAAGTTTGTTAATGTCATCAATATCATAACGTGGCATTTTCACGTATCCCCTTACATATCTCACTTTCAATATTATCTCGCTTCTAAATGATATGTACTAAACTGTCAATATGATCGATTTTCCCAATCAATGAGCAAGATGATTGCTTATGATGTGGACAAGATATGAATGACGTAACCGTTTTCAGTAATTTCAATATGTAATTAAAGTGTGTATGGTTTCCAAACGAAACTATACGTACTTATTTGAAAAGAAGACGTCAGGCAGTTAATACAAACATTTGAATTGAAGACAGTTATTACTTACAATCTGTAGTTAGATCTAATCATAACCAGATAGATTTGAAACACGACAGAACAAACTCAGTATAACCTTATACATCACAATAGACATTATATATCGCACTAATATTCGAAAATAATTTCAACACATCCGTTTTTAAATCATACTAATATTCTCGTCAATGTAATCATTTATTGTTCGTCTATTCGACAACAATTTTAACACCTTCGTTCAATCAAACTGATAATCGAGTCAATGTAAGTTGAAATATTAGAGGGTGTTTTAATACGAGATGCTTTATTTCACTATAACGTTCCCTAACAATTGTAACTTTGAATATCAACGGACTTCTCCCTAAAATGTAATATGATTACAACATGATCAATTTTTTGATCACTTATCTAAATGGGTGTTTATGATGTAACCGTTTTTCGTAATTTCTTAATATAAGTAGGTCTATATGGTTGCCAAACAAAATCCCATGCGTTTATTTGACCAAATAGGCCAGGCGTATTTGCTGTAATGATAAATTCGCCCTCACTAAAGCACTAAAAAGGCGGAAATTAAACTTTGGCGAAAATGTCCCTTCTATAAACTAGTTACACTGTACATGTTTTTCATTATAGGCTTAGATGAACGTTACTTAGTATACCATATACAGTCAGTATCTATCATTTTCCACTGTTTTTCTCGACTAATTATACTTAACTAAATATTTATAGCATGAGGGACTCGGACAGGAAGAATGAATGTATATACCTAATTTCATATATTACCTAGATGTACAATGTACATGGATGAATGAGAGACCGCTTGCAATATGGCACTTAATTGTAAAAATAACCTTACCCCATGGCCCCAGCCGGCAGTCTTCTTATATAATTTGATTCGGTAATAAAATTGATGTTTATGTATATAAAGACAATTATCGTCGTTTGCATACTATTCAACAGGTTTAAGTCATTAAAAGGATAATGTCAACATTTTGTCTATCTGTCAGTTGTATGGACCTGAAATGAAGTATTTACACACCCCACTGGGATAAAACATGCTGATCATATTAGTTCAGTCGTACATTCCAGCTTAAATTGGTTAGTTTATATTGCAAATAAGGACATACTGATGCTGCAACACATTTTTTATATTAATATCCAAACATTGATATATCATAAGTTCTGCTGATACCTTTCGTTTTTGAGGTTATTTAACGGTTGTTACCAATAATAGTGATATACCAACTGTTATTACCTTTTGGGAAGAAGAATGTAACACACTCAAAGATGATTACACCTTTAAAATTAAGTATTAGATTCAGTATGCCAAAAATAAACTGCACTGCATCATACGTTTGCAATAACAGTGAAAATGAAAATAAATGTAATATTTCTTTTATATTTTGAGGATTTGTTACTACCTATCTGTGCGCGTTTTGTTTTATTTACTAAACCTGTATACATTTTAGATATACGGCGTCACGAGTTTATTCTTGAATACTGTGAAATATCGTTGAACTGCCGTAAAACCATTTAAATATAGAAATTTCACTTCAGCATATCGTATTTACTTTGCAATATAATGTAATGTGTAATATTAATCTGTTCCAAACGCTAATCTAAATTGATGTTTATAATATAACATACTGTGAATGATGTCTCTGTTTCGTATGAAATGTTTGAAGTAGTCACATATGTGTAGTTGCCCAATAAAATTTAAACAGGTGGAGCAGGAGGTAAACACGAACATTCGTAAAGTTATTACTTACGTTGTGTTGTTATATCCAGTCGTACCCGTTCTGGTATAATAAAAAGCGACAACAAAAAAAGAATTAAAATCACATGACACATAACCGTTGTCATGACTTTCAAAATATTATTAAACATTGTTTCAACACATCAATACTCTCACCAAACTAATAAATGGGGCCATATAGGTTTTAATAATGCTCCCCATTGGATACGACAAACTTTGTTTCAATATAATCATGTTTAACGAACACAACATTATAGATATATAATTCATAGAGCATTACGACTCATTGTAGATGTTATTTTGCTGGGCAAGGTAGGTCCAAAACATTTTATAAGAAAGAACAACTCGCACAAGAAGCATATAATATTACAGTATTTAAAGGGGCATCACGCTGAAGTAACTTTTTTTTGTCTTTTTTCCAAATACTACATAAACATATCAAGTGAGACTCCTTATGGAAAATGCCGATCGGATTTGGCTGAAAAAGATTCATAAAAATGATTAAATCTAAGATAATCATCGGTATCTCTACCTGTCTGACCAACGTTTTGTTCAGGGATTTCCCTCTACTAGCGCATGCGCATAGCACACCATTTCTTTGTAAACAAAATGACTGGCCGTGTGAAGTAAGCCAAAGAAAAGTGTTGTACCGTGTCAGCTACGAAGCGAATAGTTGCCAAATGGTCAAAAGATAGCGCAAGGGGTACGTTACGGAATCATTATTGCCAGTGGGAAGTATTCAAAGCAGAAAATAACTGCCCTAGCAGTCAGTACGGTGCATGTTTTCTTCCGGATAGCGGCCGGTTAAGCTGAAATAAAATCGACAGAAATGCTAGCGCTGTTTATGTTATGAATAAATATCTAAAACTATTAACCTCGCTAGTATCATTGTGTGAGTTTGAACACAGATGAACTTAGTTTAATATGTTAATGGGCATG